GAGAGATAGAAAGAGAGAGAGAGAAAGAGAGAGAGAGGGAGAGAGAGAGAAAGAGAGGGGGGAGAGAGAGAGGGGGGAGGGACACAGAGAGAGATAGAAAGAGAGAGAGAGAAAGAGAGAGAGAGAAAGAGAGAGAGAAAGAGAGAGAGAAAGAGAGAGAGGGGAAGAGAGAGGGGGGGAGGGAGAGAGATAGAAAGAGAGAGAGAGAAAGAGAGAGAGAGAAAGAGAGAGAGAAAGAGAAGGGGGAGAGAGGGAGAGGGAGAGAGAGGGGGAGAGAGAGAGGCTGGGCGTTTCTTTTTTGGCAGGGAAAGGAAAATGTCACTGGCTCTTTTTGTCTCTCCCAGGAATCCCGATAAAGAAACTGGTCTCCACCGAAGGGGCTTTGGGGAGAAGCCCCTTCCCATTTCAACCCCCCCCCAATTTCTTTTCAATGAAAAACGAGTCAGCTTTCCTAAACCAAGAGGAAGAAGGGCAGGATTTAGGTGTCAAACCTACAGGCTTCCTTGCCCCTGAAAGAGACCCCCCCACCCAGGCCGCTCTCCCTTCGCCCACCCCCCTAATTGGGGCAACCCACCCCTCATGTCTTTAGAAGGGGGGGGGAGGAGCCTTTTGAGGGGCGGGTGGGGGGATCTGTGCCTGAAAGGAGCCCCAGGGAGGGCCTCCCTCCGGACCCCCCCCTCCTCCTCCTCCCCACCTGGAGGGGGCACCTGCCCCTGCCAATCAAAGCCCCGAGAGATACAGTTTCCAGTCCTGGTGGGAGACCCTCTTCCCCCCCTCCCCGGCCAGGCTCACGTGGGGGGTCGGGCTCCCCCTTCCTCTCCTAGGAGGGGGGCTGGGTGAGACCCCCCCCATTTAGAGGGACCACTAGGCCGCACTGCTCCCCCTCGGCCTGGGGGGGGGCTTTGAGGGGGGGGGTCTGTCTCCGTCCGTCCTGCGGCCTCCTTGGCTGCTTTTTCTTCTTCTAACCCCCCCCCCCCCCCCTTGGCCGGCTCTCCCTGGCGACGGGGCCCCGCCCTCCCGTCGCCATGGCAACCCCTTCCCCTCCCCCCCCTCGCCTCACCTTGTAGAAGGCCCCGTTGGAGCCCCGCACTTCCACGGGCAGGCCCTCCATGGGCCCCGCGGCCGACAAGGGCGAGGATCCCCGCGAGGGTTGGGTCCCCGCCGCCGCCGCCGCCGCCGGTGGGGGGATGGGGGCGGGGCGGGGCCCGGCCTCCTCCGGCTCGGCCACCGTGACCGGCCCCAGCCGAGACCTGCGAAGGCCCGGCCCGCTCGCTTCAGGCGCGCTGCTTCCTCCTCCTCCTCCTCCGGAGCCTCGGCCTCTCGTGGCGGGCTCCCCGCAGCCTCCGCGGCCGAGCTGAAGCGAGCGAGAGGCCTCCCCTCACGGAACGCGCGCCCTTCCCCCCCCGCCCCGCGCACACACACACGGTCGGGCGTGCGTGCCGTGCGTGCGCTCTGCGCCTGCGCCGCGGGACGCGTCGCCTCCCCCGCGCGGGCTCGGCCACGCCCACCCGGGCGGAGGCGCCAATGCGCGCCGCGGACCGGCGCTCGCGGCCGGAGCCGCCGACCAATGGCGGGGAGCCGCTCTGGCCACGCCCCCTCCCTTCTCTTTCGGCCCAGCTCTCGTTTCTCTTCACGCTCCTCCTCCCCCCCGCGGCCAATGGGAAAGGAAAGGCTGGGTTTCTCCCCGAGAATCGCTCCCTCCGGCGCAGGCGCAGTAGCAGATTCGAGCGTTGCTCAACGCCCCTCGACGGGGGTTCCCCTTTAAGTCCCACCCACCGCGCCCCCCGGTGGCCAATGACGAGTCGTCTCTCTTCTCTGACATCCAATAATAGGATGGACAGGCCTCCGCTCCTCTTTCACGTGCCTCTTGCGACGCCCTCGCCCTGCCATTGGCTGGTCGCTGTTTTTTAAATTCCTCCTGCCTCGGCGAAGTGAGCGTCTGTTAACCAATCGTAGGGCAGGGGAGGACTCGCCAAGGGCGCCCATTGGGTGGAACTGGGAGAGAGGCGGGATGCGGCAGAGCCCGGTCGGGAGCACGTGGCCGTCCGCCGCGGCCCCTCTTAGCGGCGGTCGCAGCTCCGGGGTGGCGTCAGGGCTCTTGCCCTGCCTGTCCCCGACGGGACTGACGCTGGAAGGCCCGGGGCGGCGGAGGAGGAGGAAGCGGAGGGCGAGAGGCCCCTCTTCCACCCCTTTTGAAGATGTTTGGCTGTCTTCAGCCTGTTTAGCCCTTGGACGGGAGGCCACGCAGCGATCCCGGGGCAGCAAAACTCATGGGAAGTCGGAGGAACTGCTCGCAGGTCCAGCTCCACTGAGGGGAAATGCCCTCTGCTTAATCCCCTGCCCTGAAAATTAAGGTTGATTGACATGTGTCAATCAAATCAGATTGACAGGGCTGTAAAGAAGCCCCCCTTCCTTTGAGCCCCCCACCTCCGCCTTACAGCTGGTTTTTGCCTTTGCTGCATACCCCGATGGGGGGGGGCATTTGTTCAAAAGGAAGGGGAACTATTTTTTAATCCCACTTTTATTGTCTTTATAATAAATAATAAATAAATATGTGTAAACTCAAATGCACACACTGCGTCTTTCCTCCTGTTTTCGGCCTCAACGACAACCCTGCGAGGTGGGTTGGGCTAAGAGGGAAGGTCTGCCCAAAGTCACCAAGCCAGTTTCATGCCTAAGGCAGGACTAGAACTCACCGTCTCCTGGCGATTGGCCCAAAGTCACCCAGTCTGCTTTCATGCCTAAGGTGAAACTATAACTCTCCATCTCCTAGCGATTGGCCCAAAGTCACCCAACTGGCTTTAGTGTCTAAGGCAGGACTAGAACTCACCGTCTCCTGGCGATTGGCCCAAAGTCACCCAGTCTGCT